TATATATATAATCTAATGTAAAAAAATTATTAGTAATTTTTTTATTGAAGTTACCGTTTTAAACGGCTAAATTTTGAATGTTGTACCGTTTTTAAACGGTAAAAAGTTTGCATTGTTCGAATTTATGCACGTTACGCCCCGTTACCACAATAACGAATGATAACATAACGTGTAATAACGGGAGGGTGGGGCGGTGTTCGCCCGTTATGGCGCCGTTATGACGATGCCACATCGGATAACGCCATAAAAGGCGTTGCCCATGCCCATCCGTCTAAAGAAACTGTAGATTGGTAATTGTTGTTTATATAAAAAATAATGAAGTGCATATCTTATGAAATGTATCATTTTGTTTTAAAATGTCATTGATGTTTTTTATATAGTTTAAGGGTTTAAAGTTAAAAATATAATTTTGGCAAAACGAATGGGTGAATCGACAATGTTTTGTCTAGTGAGCCAAACCCTTTTCGTTCTCCACCTTATGGGAAGAGAGATCCATGAAATTTAGGAGCCAAGGGGTACTATTTATAGCTAGGGAATCTCCAGGATAAACCCTGATTTGATTAATAAAATAATCAAATTTTATCTATTCAAGGCAGTCATCCTTATCAGTTATAGAATGATTCCAAAAACCCTAAAAACCATCTCAAACCTGTCCATATCATGAATGGTTCTGGAATCGACTTTCCTTGCTCAATTATAAGCAATTACAATTCAGCTATTGCATCTTTAGTTAATTCCAAATTAATTCTGATTAGTAATAAAGTAATTCCAGACATTTCTAATTAATTCAAAAATTAATTATTAACTATTAACTATTTTTTAATTAAAATATTAACCATATAATATATTTAAAAAATCATTTTATCTTTCTCCTAATATCAGTTCTAGCTATTTGTAGATTTTGAGGGAAACCCAAAATGGACTTTACTTTTATTCATTAAGATTATAACAATTTACTTAAGAACTTAGACACCTTAATGTAACAGTCTCTCACTTGGATAAGTCGTCAACTACAATTGCATGTATAGACTTTGAATAACCAATAAATAGTGCTTTCTACAGTCACTGTCGAACTCTTATATAATCAAATGTCAGCATAAGATGAACGATCAGCTATTCCTTC